TGTGTAAGGAAGACTTACCGAGTCAGGAAGCAAATTACTCAGCACTGTGTTAAGAAATCACTACAAACCTCAGAGGCTGAGAACCACAGACATTTATCATCTCGTAGTTGCTGCGAGTCAGGGGTGTGGGCACGGCCTGGCTGAGTCTCCTGCACAGGGACTTACGTGGCTGCAATCAAGGACTCTTCCAGGCTGCACACCCCTCTGGAGGCTCGCCTGGGGAAGACTCACTGCCAAGATCACTCAGAGTGCGGCAGGGTTCACGTCCTTATGGCTGTAGGACTGACAGCCTCACTTCTTGCTGGCTGGCTGCTGGAGGCTGCCTGACTCCCACAGCTGCCCGGCCACAGCAACTTGCCTTGGGTGCTTACTCGACTCGCTGTTTACGTCCTCAAGTCAGCAAGGAGAGTCTTCTGAGCTGCTCTGTGACATAATCAAAGAGTGACAGTCCCTTCAGCTTGCATATTACACCAGATAAAAGCAAGTCACGGGTCCCCCCCTGCTCTTCAGTGGAAGGGGTTACACACAGGCACGAAGGCAGGGGGCAGGAATCCAGGGGGTCATCTTCAGGTCTGTCTGCCACTATGGGCATTAACAATGAGTTGGCTTCAATGACATGGGCAGAGGGAGGGAACTGTCCAGGCAGGGAGGGGCAGGTCAGTGAGGGTGACATGTGCAATGGGTCTGTAACCAGCAATACTGTACCACCGTGCTGCTCAACAACCACTGTTGACTCCTCTTTGCTGTGGCTTTGCTCTGTGTTTGAGGCCGGACAGGCTACCTCTGCACCACCGTTCTCTCTCCAGCATCCATGTTGCACTCACCACTTCCCCCTGCTTCGACTGCCTATTCTCCCAGCTATGTCTAGTTCTCGCCTATATATTCCCCGGCTATACACAGTTCCATTCCTATGCATAGCCCACCTACAGATAGTTCAAGGCCCAGCATAAATGGGTCTTCCCAAAACAACAGTTCTGGGGATTTATGTAAGTGGAAGGCACCCTGCTAGACTCTCCCTAAGCTGCAAAGCATGCGGTGTCGGGCATGCACCAGATGGAGGAGGCTGGGCAGAAGGCAAGCATGCACAGGTAAGACCAGGAGGGCCCCTTGCTGAGGGTCAAGCCCAAGGCAGCCTATAGGTCCCGGAGGGGTTTTTAGAACACGGTAAAATTCCCCCTCACACAGCGTCAGTGATCTTTTTCAGGATTCCTCTGTAGGCTAGAAATCACAAAGGGATTCCAGAGTCTTTCCGGGAACTGCCCAGCCACGGCCCGCACTGCCAGACCACTTGGCTGCCACCAAAGGCTTCTTGGGCAAGAGCAGGAAGTGACAAGGGAAGCGTGCTGCATTCCAGCCCGAGGACCTGGATCACATCCAAGGCCCGGAAAGGCCGGGGAGAAGAGGCCCCCAGTGGCTGGCAGCCTTGGCCACGTACCCAGGGAAAGGGAACTTGGAAGGATCCCTCTGAAGGGTGTCAAAAGGCGTGGCCAGAGGGCGTGGCCTCCGGCTTCCCCAGCCCCACCTCTCCTCTAGCCCAGGAAGGCTCTGTGGCTCCAACCTCGGAACTGCTCATAATCCCACCTGCTGCAACTGAGTGTTGAGTCTCTTTAGAAGCCGCCTGGATCTAAGGTGGTGGGGTGGGAGGGAAGGGCTGCACGCCCTGGGTCTCTTTGTCCCCCACCCTCGTGGGGCCTTATGCCCCACACCCATTCTGGTTTCTTCCTTGCTCTGACAGCAAGGGTTTGCACACACTCCTCCTCCTCCCCTCCCACATTGAAGTCTGAGCCAACCCCAGGCAGCACTAGTGGACAGAGAGAGAGACAGAGAGAAAGGTCTTCCTTTGCCGTTGGTTCACCCTCCAATGGCCACCGCGGCCTGCGCACTGCAGCCGGCGCACCGTGCTGATCCGATGGCAGGAGCCAGGTACTTATCCTGGTCTCCCATGGGGTGCAGAGCCCAAGTACTTGGGCCATCCTGCGCCCTGACCGGGACTAGAACCCGGTGTGCCAGCGCCGCTAGGTGGAGGATTATCCTAGTGAGCCGCGGCGTCGGCCCCCCACCCATCTTCATCTAAGCCAGCTTAGTTCGCAGGCTAGGAAATCCCCACAGGACAGCTTTCTGGGGTCCCCCCCTCAGCCCTCATCATCTCATATCACTGACTGTCCCCACCCCACCCCCCGGAACTGTGGGGCCCCCAGTGGCAGCTCCAGTGCCCGACACAGGCATGGTGCACAGCGAGAACATCAGCATCCTGCCTGCCTCTCCCTGGATGGGAGACCTCACCTCTCAGAGCAGCAGGTGTCAAACCAGAGGGAAAATCACCATCCCCCCTTATTAAAATGCAGATGCCTGGGCCCTGCCCACAGTTTCTGCTTCAACAGATGTGGGGTGGGGCCTGAGCACTCGCATCTCTAGCAAGAACCACTGTCTCAGAGCACTGCTTCTGCACTGCTACAGCAGAGGAGAGTCCCTGTGACCCTGGGACTTTGGTGAGACTCTGGTGCGGTGATGGCAAAGAAAGAGTGCAGTATGACGCCTGTGACCGGGAGCTGCTCTGTAAGTGCCAGCCACTGCTCCTGGGAGTGGGCAGGAGACCCGCCAGGCGGCGAGGTGGGAGAGGGCCCGAGCAGATCAGCGGGGCTGGCAGAAGAGCGAAGGCCGGCACAGCAGCAGGGAGTCCAGGTTGCACCATGGAAGCAGCTGGGCGCCGCACTCGGCTCTGGAGGTGGGCAGTGAAGGTTGGAGGCTGCTCAAACGTGGCAGGAGGCCGGCAGAAAGCCCCAACTGCTGGAGACTTGGCTGTTCAGGCAGTGGGTCACTAGCAAGTGAAAATAAAGAATATCCAATTACATTTGAATTTCGAATGAACACGGATTTTTAGTATGTCTCAAATATCGTGTCGAACATAGGTATGCTAAAAAAAATTGTATTGTGTATCTGAAATTCAAATTTAACTGGGAGTCCTTTAGTTTTCCTTTCAAAGTCTGGCGAACCTGGCCAGCTACCAGCTGCCTGCCCCCCACCAGCTAAGCCTGCCTTCCGGGGCTGCACTGCCCTTCCCCACCAGCAGTGGCCCAGGAGCCGCTCCTGGCAGCCACTTGCTGCTGCTGACAAGCGATCACAGCTGCAGGCCTGGGGGACTGGGCCCTCCCCCTTGTGCCAAGTTCACCCAGCAAGAAGGTGGCAGGGCACAGCAAACAATCACTGGCTCTGTGCATTAGCAGAGCACATGGGCTCCCAAACCCCATACAGAAGGAAGGGCCACCGCACTCTTGGATTAATCAAGAAACAGCTGCTGGGGACATGCCCACCTATTAAGTACGCACCCACAGAGAGGGGAAAACAGCCTCCACGCTTAACCCCAGAAACGGGAGAACAAAGCATCCACACACTGCGCAAGGCTCCAAGGAGGCCCCCGAGTCGGTTTGCAAACCGCAAGCTAGGGCAGGAGGGTCCCTACCTCCCTCACCTCAGCTGAGTGCTGGGAAAGCCGGAGCAGCAGAGGCTGCCTCCACCCGCCCTGCCCCCCAACAGCCCGCCACAATCACCAAATCCCAGATGATTCAGTTCCGAAAACAAGCCTGCCGGAAATCCAGTTTTTGCAAGAACCTTTATGTCAACTTTTTTTTTTCCTGCTCTAACAAGAACAATGAAAACAATTGGTGCTCCATCTTAAAAAAAAAAAAAAAAGTGTGACAAACGTTCCTGAATGCCTATTGTGCGTCCTGCACTCTGTCTAGCACTTTCTTTATCTTAACATTTCTCAGTCTGGCTGCGCATTGCAACCACCTGGTGAGCTTCGTCAACCCCCGGAACGCTGGGTGTCCGTGCATGCCCAGGGCACAGCGACCCCAACATCCAGCCCCGGGCCAGAAGCGCGGACCGAGTTGAGCTCATCCTGTACCTAATGCTGCCAGGTGCCTGCTCAGACTGTGAACGCCCCGCTCCCCACAGGGCAGCGGCCCACACTGCCCGGGTTCACGACTCAGAGTCAAGAACTGCCCGTGAGGACAACTGAGGTACCCAAGGTCCCGTCACCTTGCGTACAGAGCAATGGCGGCCGCCTCTCATCCTCCACGGTGCGGTAGGGTCTAAGTCTGGCTTCTCCGCAACCCCAGCTCGCCAAGCCTTTCCGGGGTGTTCCTCCTCTTCACAGCCAATACCTCTACCTCCTGAGCCTTCTTAGAGAATCTTCTTTCCCCGGGCTCCACATCCTTACCAGTTGTCGGTCTTTGATCCAGACAACCCCCGAATCACAGCTGCAAAGGGAAAAGCGTTTCCCCGGGCCTGACAGCGCTTACCTGGGCTCACCTGCGCGGGCTGACATAGGCAGCGTGGTTGGGTGAGAAGGCTGGTCATCGCCTGTCCTCTGCTGGCCGGCGGTGGTATTGCGCTCACTGCTCTTAACCTGATCTCAGCCAAAAGGCTGAGAAACGATAAAGCTCACTGCTCTTCGACACGCGCGTCCCGTGCTTGGAATGAAGGGAACGGGCGTTTATTGAGCGCCTGCTGTATGTCACACGCTACACTGAGCGCTAGGGTGCAAGGATGGCTGTGACCTGTTCTCACGGAGCTCAGATGCAAACGACGAGGTAGATCTCAATCAAATAGTTTTTCAAGTAATTATGAAATTATAACTTCAGGAGCACGTGACACGGGTGCCCAGTGCAGTGGGGAGAGGGGCAGCGAACGGGGTGGGGGGTCACTAGGCGCCTCACAAAGTCACTCCACGCCATCGCGAACATCCTCCAAGGAGAGTCTCCCCTTGGCAAAGCAGAAGACGAGCTCAGGTCGGGGACAGAACCTACGTGAGGTCTCGCAGCGCAGACGGGAAGACCGAGGTGGCCTGGACTCATTCCCGAGGCCCCACTTTCCCGCCGCGGGCGCCGGGCGGGGCCGGGGTGGAACCTGCAGCCTGGTCCCGCCCCTGCCCTACAGGTGAAAGAGCGTGAGGGCGGAGCGGGCTCTCCTTCGGGGTGGAGCCTGGACGGATCGGGGCCTGCAGAGGCCGCACCTGGCTGGTGGAAGAGGTGGAGCCGGGATCTCGCCCGGTGCTACAGGAGCCGGAAGCGCCGAGTGAGTGCGGGCTGAAGGCGTTTGCCTTTTGAAGCTGTGTCCACAAGTGGAGGCGGCCGCCCCGCGTCCAGGCGATCCAGTGGGCAACTCCCCAGGTAGGGTAGGGCCCACCCCGGGCCGGGAAGAGGTGTCGCTGTGGCCTCTTGCCCTGCCCATCTGTTCTGCCCCCACCCCAACTTCATTTCTGCTTGCGAGCCTGAGTCCACCAGCGGTCATCCCACGGGGAATGCAGGGCTAGAGGGGCCGGCCCCCTTGTGTCCTTCTCCCAGCCTAAGGCTGCTGACCACCTGGATACCCGGAACATGGGGTCTGGAGAGGAGACGCCCCCCTCCGGGGGGGTGGGGTGGCCCAGCTTGTCTTGGCCCTGTGACCTGGGAGGACACCCAGGGGCCTCCGTTGCTAAGCAGGGTCTGACCCTCCCCCTGCCTGACCTGAGGCTGGGCCGGTCAGTCCGGGGATCTGGATGGCGCTCTCTCTGACCCAGGGCAATGGAAGCCTCTCCTGCCCTCTCTGGCCCAAGATGGAGAGCCACACCCATCCCTCATGGGAGCCTGGGAGGGCTGAGGACTCAGACCCAGGGCAGCCTGTCCCAGCTCCCCCGTGGGGGAGTTGTAGACTACCCTGGAAGGCCTGGGGTCTGAGGCTTGAGCAAGGCACTGTCCCCATGCAGGGCCTTGAAGGCCAAGTTAAGAAGTCTAAACTCTGCACCAAATGCCAGGGGGCTGCCATGACCCCGAGCAGCGGCTGCAATCGTCAGAATGGGTGACCACATTCATCGCACACCTGAGTTACTCACATGTGCCTGTGTTACCCCCACTTCTGAGGCGGACATTGAGGCTCTGAGAGATGAAGTGGCCTGTCCAAGGTCATGGCTGTGAAGTGGCATCCTGGGGTTAGAACCCTGAGGTCTGTGCTCTCCCCCACAGTGCCCTGCTGCCTTCCAGGAGCTGGGCATCTGGCAATAAGGCCTTGACCGGGACTGCAGGAAATGGAGGCAGGGGAGAAGAGGTAGGAATGAGAGGGCTTGGAACTGACCAGGCACAAGGTGGGTGGGGATGGGAGGAAGAGGAAGGTTTTGACGTTACACTTGTTTGTGTGGGGGTGGAGGGTGATATGGGGGAGCCAGACAGAGCAGGCCCCTGACTGCTCAGGGAGGATGCCTGTCCAAGGAGGCAGAGCAAGGTGCTAGGAAGAAGAAGGTACCCTTGGGTGTGGGTATAGGCAGAAGGGCAGAGCCCAGGGCAGGGTTCATGGAAGGCCCCTAGTATGCTGAGCAGGCAGACCTGGGGGCATCTACTGGTGAGGCTGGGGTGGGGGACAGCAGGGAGAGGACAGGCTTCTACACCCCAGTGACATTACAGCTGAGACAGGCCTCAGAAATGGAGGCCATGGTTCATAGAAGGAGACACGGAGGCCAGCAAGCTCCTTGCCTGAGAATCCTACATGGTGGATCGGAGCACCGGGTGCCAGGTGCCTTCTTTGCTGTTCAGCTCTGTTTGCTGGATCACTTGTCTGCCAGGAGACTTGGAACAGTGTCTAGAGACAATTTGGGGTGCAGAGAGGTGTGACAGGTGTCTACTGTATAGAGGCCAAGGACATGGCAATGCTGTCAGGCACAGCACCCCTCCCTGAAACCTCCAACCAAGAACCATCTGGCCCCACATGGCAATAATGCTGAAGCTGAAAACCTGTGCTGGAGCCAGCTGAGCCTGCCACCCCCCTCCCTCCACTTTTGTCCTCAGCAGGACACGTAGCTCAGGCTTGGGCCTCCAGCTGGCCAGACCTTTACCCCCAACCCCCAATCCACCCCTCCTGTGCTTTCTCCTGGACTCTCCTGGAGTCCTCTCTGCTTGCCTTGGTCATAGTGGTCTAGAGCCCTGCCCTCCAAACCTTGTCAGTCTGTCCGTCTCCCAGGACCTACGCAGAGTTTGGTGCTAGGCAGTGAGAAACAAAAGAAAAGTGGAACTTTTACCTAGCACATAAGGAGGTGTCTTGCAGATAAAACAGTTACTGAATTTGAGTGGCGTGGAGAGTCCACATTCTCTCCCAACTTCACTTTAGCAATTCTAGTTGTCTCTTGTATTTGTGAAGCACTGACACAGACCGAAAGAAGCCACTGCTTTGTGGCCCACCCAGGAAGGGCAGAGGATCAGGGTTGCCCGAGCCATGGTGTCTGTCTGGGCCTCGTCATTCTTGTCTCCCAAGAGAGGCTGTGGACTGCAAGCACGTTCCAGTTCTTCCCCTGACGCAGAGGGTGCAGCAGTCACTTGTGGATCCTGTTCGAATACAGACGGTGACCCAGGAGGTCTGGGTTGGCTCTGAGTTTGTATACTGCTAACAAGCCCCCCGGGGGGAACTGGTGCCTGGTCCGCATCTCCAATGCCAGGTGAGAGAGGGCTGGGCAGAGGCGGCTGTGGGCCACATTACCTTCTATGGACAACTGCGACATGGCGTGGGGTCGTGGCTTGGAGTAGGAGAAGCCCATAGGATGGGACTGAAGGACATCACTCATACTCCCTCCTCCATCTAGGGCCTGTTAGCTTTGCTAACTCACCTGACCCTGGCTCCTTCCAGGAGTGGTCTTCCTGGGCAGGCTGTCTTCCAGAGGTTCTGGTGCAGGGTTTGAGAGAGACAGGTGCCCTGTGGAGATGGGATGGTTGGAGTCCTAGCAGCCAGAGTAGCAGGTCACCAGCCTGGGTGGCAGGGCTGCTTGGGGACAGCTCATTATAGCCCTGGCTTTTCTCCATGGCTGCCACCACCTCCTGCTTCTGCCTCGCCCAGCCCTGTTGGTGTGGGAGACTGGAGGGACCAGTCTGGCCGGGGGTAGGGCCTGAGTGTGGGTCTGAGGGCCTAGCTGGCCATATTAGCTTGCCGTCACTACAACAAAATAACTAAGACACATTGCTTAGGAAGGAGGTGTACTTCAGCTCATGGTTTGGAGGTTCACCGTCCAAGGTTGGGTGGTCCCATAGTTTTGGCATCTGGTGATGGCATTCTTGCCGGCACCTGTGCTCCTGTCTCTCCTGCTTAAGCCTCCACAATCTGATTCGGGAGCTCCACCTCAACAACCTAATCCAATCCCATCCCTTCCCACAGGGGCCACCACTAAATATCCTAACTGGATTAAGTTTCCACCCTCTTAGGATCATTAAGGCTTTGGCAACTCAGCCTCTAACACGTGGATCTTTAGGGGACACCCAGACTAATATCCAAATGATAACACCAGCTGAGCCAAAGCTGCAGCTGCGGGCTGGGACTGTGGCCTGGACCCCCAGGGGATCAGGCTGTGGGTGGGCCTCCAACCAGAGAGCTGAGCCTCATGGCTGGGACCCCCTGCCTTGGGCATCTGACTCCAGGAATGGCACTGAAAAGCCTTAGATACTTGGGGTGCTCCCACCTCTGATCCCCTCTAAGCAGGCCACAGGCCCCAAAAACGACCTTTCCAACTCCTAGGACCAAGAGGCAGCCAGGCAGCTGAATCCATCTCTCAGGTGGAAAACAGACCCTCTGCCCCCCAATTTCTGGGAAGAGAAGGCTGTAGCCCATTATCCAGGGGGCCCTGGGTCTGATTGGTCAGGAAGTGGCCCGTATCGCCGAGCCTTCCCGTTCCCGGGTTGGGACCATGCTGATGGTTCACAGCAAGGGCTCTGGGGGAGAACCACACTGCCTTGAACTTGAATCCCAGGTCCTGTCCTTGCTAGTTGTGAGACCCTGGACGAGTCACTCTTCTCTGCGCGTCAGCTGGCTCCTCTGTAAACAGACATAATGACACCCGCCCGGCCAGCCTCACAGGGCTGTTGTGATGAGTGAGCCCTGCCCACGGAGCACCGTGGTCATTATCATGAGTCACAGCATTTAGGGGCACACGGCGATCCGGTGTTGTCTTACTCCGTGCCCTTGTTTTACAGAGGTGGAGATCAGCAGCTGTGCTAAGCTCCCGAGGCAGGCCGGTGGGCAAACTGGGGCTAGACCCACGTCTGCGGGTGCACCCCCTACCCACGGCACCTGCCGTGTGTGCAGAGGCTCGCCGAGGCAGGACACAGGAGTCAGTGGGGGCAGGAGTGGCCGGACTGCAGGAGACGCTGCACGGAGGGTGCTGGAGCCGACCTCTGAGCACAGCACTGCCTCTGCCTGCCGGCACCAGCCATGAACCTCGTGGGGCAGCTGGCAGAAACAGTGTTTGGGACTGTGAAGGAGCTGTACCGGGGCCTGAACCCGGCCACGCTGAGCGGCGGCATTGACGTGCTGGTGGTGAAGCAGGTGGATGGCTCATTCCGGTGCTCGCCCTTCCACGTGCGCTTCGGCAAGCTGGGGGTGCTGCGGTCCCGGGAGAAGGTGGTGAGTGCCCTGGGGAGCACTTTTAACCTGGGGCGGCCACTGCAGCCCCCGGAGAGGACCTGCGCCTCCCTGTGGTGCGGATCTGTCCTCTTGATGAGCTTCTCCTCTCTCCTATCCTGCTTGGGTGTTTGGGGGTTGGTTGGAATTTGGGTACAGGAGGGCTCTCATTTTTCCCGTGGAAGCAATGCATGGATCTGGGACCCTCAGACCTGGCTCAGGCTTCCTTAGACCTTACCTGTGGATTCCTGGTCATGGAGCCCAGTCACTTCACCCGCCCTGTGGGCGTGCTCTTACCTGCCAAGTGGTAGTGGTGGTGGTGGGCTGGTTTGGAAGACATACACAGGACCAGGTATGTCCTGTCCCAGGACCAGGTATGAGGGTGGCGCTCAAAGGCTAGTCCTTGTCCCTCCACTCAGTCTGCTGTGACTCAAGGTTTCCTGGGCCTGAATCCCCTTCACATTAAAGCGACAGAGAACTTTCTAGAATCCTGATAGGCAGGTGTAACTGGAGAAGACAGATCTAGGAGGTTAAAAGTTTGGGTTGTGGATTTGGACCTTCCAGATTCAAAGACTCATTGGCTGTGAGGCCACTTCCTCTCAAATGACCCCGCCCACCAAGCCTCAGTTTCTTCATCTGTAAATGACAGGAACTACTCCACGGGGTTGTTGTAAAGATTAAACCAGATGATCTCTATAAAACACCAGCCAAAGTGCCCAGTAAGTAGTAATTCTCACCATTGTTCATACAGTCAACCCCTGGGGGCTGGGGCTCAGTGATGGCAGACAGGTCACGTCCCTGTTCTTGTGAGCTGTGGGAAAGAGAGGGACATGGACAAGAAGCAATCAACAGCAGCCAGGCACAGCAGGGTCCAGGAAGCCCAGTGCTCCGGACAGCGAGAAGCCCAGTGGCCCGGAGCATGGGTGAAAGGCCTACCAGTTACCATTGCAGGTGGACATCGAGATCAATGGGGAGCCCGTGGACTTGCACATGAAGCTGGGGGACAGTGGGGAGGCCTTCTTCGTCCAGGAACTGGACAGTGATGAGGTGAGTGTGGCCATCCTTGCCAACATCTGCCCCATCCCCTCACTGGGGCCCTCTCTGGATTTGTCACCATCCCCCTCCTCTTTGCGCCCATCAGCATGGGTCTGGTACAGGCGGGACCCTTGTGATGTGCTGCTGGGGCCCAGAGGAAGGGGCCAGGGTGCAGGCAGACTGCCCTTCCTGGGAAGTAGGAGCAGGGTTCGCAGAAGAGGGGACACCTGATGACCAGGAGGCCTTGCCCGAGCTGCTTGGAGAGGAGGCGGGGGAGCTGCGGGACGGCCAGGGGGCTGGAGAACATAAGGCCTGCCTTGTTCTGGGCCTGCCGTCAGTTCCGCGCAGCTGGAACACAGAAGTGTGTGGGTGGGCGGTGAAGAGAGCCCTGTTTGCAGAAGGCAGACAGGGTCCAGCCCCGGCCAACAGAGCCGTTTAAACCATCTGAATGTGACAAAATGGTTTATTTGTATGTATGCTGGACGCTGTGCGGTGGACTCGGTTGATGGGTGATCCCTGCTTTAAGGAATGTTCTGGACTAGTCTAGGAGACAGACTTGTAAACAACAGATGATGGGACTCTGGTCATTGCAGTGAAGGGGGTTGGAACTGGGGCGGGGAATAGTCAGGGACAACTTCCTGGAGGAGGTGGCTGGCTGAGTCTTTTTCTTTTTTTTCTTTTTTTTTTCTTTTTTACAGGCAGAGTGGATAGTGAGAGAGAGAGACAGAGAGAAAGGTCTTCCTTTGCCGTTGGTTCACCATCCAATGGCTGGCGCACTGCGCTGATCCGAAGGCAGGAGCCAGGTGCTTCTCCTGGTCTCCCATGGGGTACAGGGCCCAAGCACCTGGGCCATCCTCCACTGCACTCCCGGGCCACAGCAAAGAGCTGGCCTGGAAGAGGGGCAACCGGGACAGAATCCGGCGCCCCGACCGGGACTAGAACCTGGTGTGCCAGCGCCGCTAGGTGGAGGATTAGCCTAGTGAGCCGCGGCGCCAGCCTCTGGCTGAGTCTTAAGGGAGAAGCAGGTATCTCCTGAGTGGAGATGAGAGGCTAAAGCCCAGGTCTCTGCCTGGTCTGTGAGGGTGTCTGTGGCTCCTGGGAACCCTGTGGCCATCAGCGGCTGCCACCTCTGGACTCCATGTCTCCTTTCCTCTCAAGGAGCCCCAGCAGGGCCTGGGGCCCAGGCAAGGCTCAGGTTGACTGGGTGGTGGGCCAGCCTCCGGCCCCAGCCCCTCAGCTCTGCCCCACCTCCTCCACTTGCTCCATAGGAAGATGTGCCTCCCCGCCTGTGCACCTCGCCCCTCCCCTGGGGGGCCCTGCCTGGCTGGGACTCCCAGCTGCGCACAGCCGAGGGCCCCCTGGCGGCGGGCACGGGCACGGCCTCTGTGGGACGGAGGAGGAAGCGGCGCAAGAAGAAAGCCCGTCGGAGGGAGGATGCCGGGGCGACGGATTCCAGCTCGGAGGAAGCCGAGGCTGGCGCCGAGAGGGAGTTGGCTCTGCTGGCGAAGCCCAGGCCGGAGCCTGCAGGGTGTGTAGGGACCAGGTGGGGGCCAGGGGTGTGGGGAGCCCCCCGGGCTTCAGGCACTGTTTCCTCTGACCCCGGGCAAGGGCCTTGACCTCTCCATGCTCTTGTTGCTTCATCTCCCCAAGTCCGACGGCTCCCGCGCCAGGGCCCAGCCCCGCCTGTGAGCCCTGCCCTGTGCCCTTCAACAGTGTCCCGTCAGAAGGGGCGTCCTCACCGCAGCCCAGAGACTTCTACCCCTATTCGGACGGCGAGTGGGCCCCGCAGGCCAGGTGAGGGCCCTGACAGGCGGCAGCGGGGCCTCGGGTCTCAACTTACATTGTTCTGATGATGAGTGACACAGAGCTCATTTCACCTGTTCCTGGGCCATCTGTATTTCTCTGTTCAAGTCTGCTTTTCTCCCCCTTGATTGTGGTCAAATATACATAACGTAAAATTCACCGTTGGAATGAATCCAGTGGCATTAAGTAAGTATGTTCACGATGGTTGCAGCCATCACCACCGTGGGGTTCCAGAACTTTCCCCCACCCCAGGTGGAGACCCAGTTCTGGGATCAGTCATAACCTTGCCCCGCCCCCCTCCTCACTGGACTGCTTTCTTGTTATTGGTTTGTAGTGTTCTTTAAGCCCTGGTGTGCTGTCTACGTATCTTCATGTCTTTACACGGCCTGGGTACGACATAGGCATAAATAATGTGCAGTCCACCTCTCTTTTCCTGAGCCAGGTGGGCAGCGGGGGTGGCAACCTGACGTGGTGGTGTCTGAGTCTTGTTTCCTGCAGCCTCACACCAGATGGGCTCGTGTCCCCTAAGAGTGACTCAGAGCTGGAGCTCCGGGCCCTGGAGCCCAGTCCCCTGCGAGCCGAGTCCCACATGCAGTGGGCCTGGGGGAGTCTGCCGCAGGTGAGTTCCCCCACGTTAACCCCCCATCCCTGCCTTGTGGTGGGTCTGTGGCCTGCCCGGGTTATGGCTGGAGTGACAGACTGGGGCCATGTCCCCCGAGCTGTGTGGGGTGTTAACGGCTGGCCCCATACCTGCCCACGCGTCTTTGACTGCAGGTGGCCAAAGCCGAGCGGCCCGAGTCTTCGGCGGTCCCGGAAGGCAGCGCGGGGGCAGCTTCTCCTCAGGGAGGACCCAGCCCCTCCTCTTCCTGTGTGCCTGGTGTGGACCCGTCAGGACCCCCAGTCCTGCAAGCAGGGGTCCGTGCTGACTTGCTTCAGTCTGATGTGCAGTCCCACTGGAGGGGGACAGCGGTGGGTCCCCCTCTCCCCACCCCAGAGAGTGAGAAAAGCGAGACTCAGAGCTTCAGGGATGCCGGCCTCCCTCCTACCTCGAAGTCCTGGAGCTGGGCGACCCTGGAGAGGCCGCCTGCCCCCAGGCCACCAGAGGGATGCTCCAGGGGGAAAGGTGAGTGATGGCTGGGATCCCTGGGTGGGCTGCAGGACTCCAGGTTTGTTTTCAGCACCTACTATGTGCCAGGTACTTGGTAGCAGGCCTTATGGGGCTCCCGGTCCAGTGGGGGAGACATGATGCATGCATTACCAAGACTGGGCAGGACCAGTGCGGGACAGAGCTGTCAGCTGAAGATGGCTGTTTGAATCACGTGGTTCGGGAAGGCCTGTCTGAGCAGGAGATGCTGGAGTGAAGAGTGAGGCAGATCAGCCTCCTGAGGAGCACGGGGAGAGACTTCCATGTGCAGGGTGCTACTGCGGGAGAGGTTTCGTGTCCAGGAACTGAGGGCAGTGGCTGTGTCTGGAGCTGTTGAGGAAGGGGAGAGGCTGGGGAGGAAGTCGGGGAGACAAGCAGAGCTGGATCCATCCTGACACACAGGCTGGGCTTATCTAAGAGTAAGGGGGAGGCTTGGGAGCCGCACTGTCGAAATCAGTGTCTGCTGGCCCAGAGTAGCTTTTAAAAGCTGCGTTAGTTAAACGATGTGGCTTGGGACACCTGCATCCCATATGGGAGTGCGTGGGTTTGAGAACCCTGGGGTACATCAGGTGATGGCTCAAGTACTTGGGTCCCTGCCACCCATGTGGGAGACCTGGATTAAATTCCAAGCTCCTGGCTTTGGTCTGGCCCAGCTGTAGTCATTGTGGGTATTTGCATAGAAAATCTGTCTGTCTCTCTGTCTCCCAAATAAGTAACGGAACAATTTTAAAAATTAAGCACAATTTAAAATCCCATTTCTCTGTTATACTAACCCCATTTTAATGTGCTTGATAGCCACGTGTGGCTGCCAGCTACCTTACTGGGCAGTGCAAATGTAAGGCATTCCTATCACCGCAGAATGTTCAAAGGCAGGGGGCACGGGCTAGGTCTACAGGTGTCCCTCCCCCCACCGCAGGTTCCCTGAAGAAAAGCCAGCACCTGGGCCCCAGCGACATCTACCTGGACCACCTGCCTTCCCTGGACTCTGAGGATGCAGCCCTTTACTTCCCCAAGAGGTGCCTGGGTGTCTTGGTCAGGGCGTGGGGGCCAAGGCCTGGGAAGAGGGGCCCTGCCTCTCACCCGCCTTGTATTCATGTCACTGTTGACCCTTCTGCCCCAAGTGACCATGGGCTGGGGCCCAGGAGGTGGAGTGAACCCAGCAGCCAGAAGCTCCCGAGGGAGCCCAACCCCGAACCTGGACCAGAACCCAGTGTAGACACGGTGGACACCATAGCACTATCACTCTGTGGTGGACTGGCAGACAGCCGCGACATCTCCCCAGGTAGGTTCCAGCCTGGCCTGAACCGCTCTGAGGACTGACGCTGGGCCCAAGAGATGGGGGAGGGCAGGAAAGACCCCTGAGCTGAGTGAGCATTCCCCAGTTCCCAGAAAGCCAGTGCTTAAGCTGTAACTTACCCTGCAAATCCTGGGGTGGGAGCAAACCCAACCACCACAGGCAGGGAGGCGCCCTGCTACATCAGTAGAACAATCTGGAGCTCTGTGGCAGAGTGTGGGGACCAGGAGTCCCATGGGGACTGGGGGTCATGTGGTCTGCACCAGGCTCACCCCTCCCTTTCTTCCTGCGTACCCAGAGAAGTTCAACCAGCACCTCGTCTCCTACCAGGACCTCATCACAAAACCTGGGCTCCTGGATGACCCGAACCTGGTGGTGAAAGTCAATGAGAAGTGAGTGCCGGGCTGGGGCTCCTGGGGGTGGGAGAGTGGCCCACGCCCGTGCCCCTGAACTACAGCTGCTGCCTTTTGTGCCTGCAGGTACTATAACTGGGCTGTGGCTGCCCCCATGATCCTCTCCCTGCAAGCCTTCCAGAAGAACTTGCCCAAGGTAACAGAACACTGTTGGGCTGGGGGAAGTGGCCATCACCCCTGCACCTGGAGGCCCTTGGCAGGAAAGTGGAGGGTGGACAGAGAGGGGCCGGGGGGGGGGAGGTCCGCCTGTGGAAAGGAGGCCCTGCCCCTCCCTAGTACCCTGGCCATGGCTGGTACTATTCGATTGGGATTTTACTTCAAAGGAACTCTGGACAATTCAGAGGGGGTAAACATTCAACAGAGGCCTCAACAGGGACAGGCCTTCAACAGGAGGCTTTTAGATGTGAACCAAGGGGCTTAGGAGATGGAAACTCCACCCTTCCCCTAAGACTCCTCCTCCAGGCCAGGCTGTGGGGTGCTTGCTGCTCCTAGGAGCACACACTTGAGTCCCTACTGTGTGCTGTGCCAGGTTGTGAACAGTCATGAACTAAACAAAAACTGTCCCCACCTTCCTGGGAAGGAAGAAGAGATGGCCAGGTGTGCTGAGAGCCTGCAACAGAGTAGAGGGGCGGTGTTGGGGGCAGAGGTTAGAGGATGGATCTGGGCTGGATAAAGCATGTGGAAATGCCCAGATGTGGGAGGGACCCAGCCTCTTCACCCTTCCTAGGATACCCGCCCTCACCCTTGGAGGATGTGTGCTCCTGGGCAGGGCCAGCCTGTGCCACCCTCAACCTTCTGCCCCTCTGGGTACAGACCAGGGTCAGTTCTTGCTAGTTTAGGCTTACTCAACTGCTGATAGGTGGTGCCTACATTTGAAGATGCTCAGCTCCACCCCCAGGCTGGCTCTGGGATGTTGTCTTATGGGAAGGAAGAGGGCCACTGCCCTGTTGGGTTGACCCAGACAGCCTCCAAGGCCTGTTCCCAGCTCAGGTGGGCACCTGGATAATCACCCTGAGCCCTCATCCTCCTGACCCAGGTTCCCCATTCTGTGTCTCCCAGATAAGCCTTGGTCTGGGCTTTCCTCAGGGTTACCTAGCACAGATCCAATCAGCACTTTTCACAAGATCGCATGGACGCAACCAGTGATGGGAACACAGAGAGCAGCAGGCTATGCCTAGAGTAGGACTGACTTTGGGAAGACCCATGTAGTAGTGTTGGCAGTTGAGGGGCACCCTGGCTGTAGCCTGTCCCTCCTGCTGCCACTTGGTAGCATCATGCAGATCCTGAATATCAGATCTTATGAAACTCCAAAAGCCCTGTCTTGAGCTTCAGTCCTACTCTAGTAGAGGGATAGACTCAAGACTTGGGGGCCAGGGCTGAGGCTGGCCTAGAGCCAAAGGTCAAGGTTAGGGGACAGGAAAGGCTCTCGGTCTCCTGTGCATGGCCCCATGAGTAACGACTTGGAATCCCAGGAGAGAGGCCTCCTCAGCACCCAGACGTTGACTGCACCTTGCTCTAGGCTTGGTCCAGACTTGTGGCTCAGGCCCTCCTCCTACACCCTGGAGGCAGCGTAGTATAGACGTGTGGGGCACAGGACAAAATGCCATGGCCTTCACCTGCCCACAGAGCACCGTGGACAAGCTGGAGAAGGAGAAGATGCCTCGCAAGGGGGGGCGATGGTGGTTTTCCTGGCGACGCAGGGACTTCCCGGCCGAGGAGGTAGGTGGTCACAGTCATGGTCACGGGTGGGGCCTGCACGGGGCAGGAGGCAGGCTTCACTGGATGGATGTTCTCCCCACAGCCCAGTGCCCAGAGGGAGAGACCCACAGGCAAGGAGCAGCAGGGGTGAGTTGAACATCCTGGTCGCAGAGGATGCTGGGGAAGATTGCCCTGGGGTTGAAGAGATGGGGTTGGGGCCAGCACCCCTTCCCCAACCATGGTTCCCATCACTCCCCAAGCATGTCTAGACCCTTTCGTTCTCCTGAGAAATGCCCCCACTTCACAGATGGGAAAACTAAGACCTAGAGATACATCAAGTGTCCCTTAGCCACTAACAGGAAATGCCACAGCTAGAACAGGTGCTGAGACTCCTGGCCTAGGCACAGGGCTGCTATATGATGGAGGGCAAGGCCTCTCTCCCCGCCAGCCCTGGGTTGGGAGGAGGGGACTGACTTCCCTTCCTTTTCTCACCTCTGAAGTGATCCAGCCACCTGAGGGTGGGTAGAGGGTGACCAAGGCTGAGTAGACTGAAGCTGAAGCAGGTGGGGCTAGGACTAAGCCCTAAGATGCACTTCTAGGTATCTCTGGGAATCAGCTCAGGACAGGGCCTGGCATCCTGGCTATGGAGGTGCACTCAGGGCTGGCAGCCCTGGGTCTTGGCTCCAGCTCTGTTGTCACCTGCTTGGGTAGAAACTGCCAGCCAACACCTGTGTGTCTGTTGCCACACGACCTGGGAGGTACCTGGAGGGAGGGGTGGCCTCTAGAGAGACAGGGCCAGGCGCCTCACGACGTGGGCCAGTGTGAAGGCCCTGAGAGCCAGTGTGTCCACAGGGAGAAGACTGGAGTCCCCAGCAGCGATGACGATGGCCCAGACAGCCCTGTGATCCTCGAGGTCCCCTCCCCTCCACCCAGGACTCCTGCCTACATCCCCACCTACAAGAAGTCCCTGCGCCTCTCTTCCGATCAGATCGTATGTGTGCACACGTAGCTTAGCGTGTGTGTAGGGAGCGGGCCCGCATGAATTCCATCTGCAGGGCTCAGCTGAGAAACGGCTCCACAGGGCCGCATGCTCACCGTAAGCCGGGATCCATTGCCCTGGCCTCCCTCCACTGGGATACCCCCAGGGGGAGGAGGCTCGCTTCTCACTGCAGCCCATTTCTCTGCCCTGGGGAAGGCTTCTCTTACTTCCTCCTATAGCATCTACCTACAGTAAGCCAGCTGGCCCTTGGAGGCCACAAACAGGGAATCAAATGCCACCGGAAAGCCTCTTGGGCTTTGGCAACCCCCGGCCCCCCAGCCATGTGTTCCCTGAGCTCTTGTAACAATGTTTTCTTCTCGAATGTGGCTCTGGTCAGGGAGGCATCCGGCAGGGACTGCCCAGCCCATCACAGAACAATGGCCACTTGCCTGGTGCCCTGGGACTCACACCCGCTTTGGTGCAGCACTGCCCCAGTCTTGTCTATGGACCAGGGCTGGGCTAGGTCTCTCTGTGTGGGGTGTGAGGCGCCCTACCCCCAGGCAGGGGCTTCCTTGTGAGAACCCCGTGGGGCCTTCTCTATCGATTGGGCCTGTCTCCATGAAAAGAGCAGCCGTGGCCTTCGGGCTGACTTAAAAACCTGGGTGGGGTTTCCCCTATGGCAGCTTTGTTTTATTTCAAAGGGGAGTGAAGGGAGGTTTGGGCTGACTGGAAGACTGGAGAGATAACGAGAGGCTTGTGGGAACTGCAGGCCAGTTTTGGGTGGGCAACACCTGGCTGTGACAAGTCACAACCCCCCTGCCCTCCCTTTGCCTGGCCCCAGCGGCGCCTGAACCTGCAAGAAGGTGCCAATGATGTGGTCTTCAGTGTGACCACTCAGTACCAGGGCACCTGCCGCTGCAAGGCCACCATCTACCTGTGGAAATGGGACGACAAGGTGGTCATCTCTGACATCGACGGCACCATCACCAAGTGAGGTTCAGCTGGCCCAGGGCCTGGGGGCTTGCTTCCCTCCGGGCTGGGGGGGTGGTGTCTCTGTCGGGGAGACAGTGTGGGAGCCCCTCCCTTCCTGGTGGGTCATGGTGGGCCTGCCCCATAGTGACCCTTCGTCTCTGGCTGCAGGTCCGATGCTCTGGGCCACATTCTGCCCCAGCTGGGCAAAGACTGGACTCACCAGGGCATCACCAGTCTCTACCACAAAATCCACCTGTGAGTGCTGGCTGGGGCCTGGCCTCCAGCTCGAGGGAGGGAGGGAGGGAAGGAAGAAGGGAGGATGCCTTAGGGCACCCTGGCCTCTGACCTGGGAAGTGAGGCTTGGGGACCAGCAAGACCCACAAGGGAAGCAGCCTGGGGAGACGCCTGGAGCACAGAGCTGAGGACCACTCATCCCCGGGCCACATTCCAGAGTGGGAGTCTTTCTGCTGGGCCCGGGGAGAGGGCCCATCCTGCCCCTCCTGGCCTTGGGACTGCTCGTGCTCCTCCTAGCTGGGACAGCCATGGAGGGACCTCTCTCAGGCCTGAACCAGCCGCTTTCCCCAAGTCTGCACCCTGTGAAGTCTCTGGGCTTGAAAGCTGGGGGCCCAAAGCTTGGGCTCACTGCTGGGGACAGCTGGCTTCTGATGACTCATGCCTCCCCATCCTACCCCGCCCCCTAGAAACGGGTACAAGTTCCTGTATTGCTCAGCGCGGGCCATCGGCATGGCTGACCTCACCAAGGGGTACCTGCAGTGGGTGAGCGAGAGGGGCTGTGGCCTCCCCAAGGGCCCCATCCTGCTGTCTCCCAGCAGCCTCTTCTCCGCCCTCCACAGGTAACCTTCGTGACTCAGTACACGTACAGTACCCCTTGGGAAGGGGGCAGCCCTGGTGCCAGCCCAGCCCCAGCCACTATGAGCTCCTGGGTGGCAGCAGGGGCTGGGCCAGAGCCCCTGTCACCCACCACTGCCATCCCTTCCATTTCTACCCCTCCATGGTCCCCTGCCCTGGCCGTGGCCCCGCCCCCCAGGGAGGTGATTGAGAAGAAGCCGGAGGTGTTCAAGATAGCCTGCCTGAGTGACATCCAGCAGTTGTTTCTGCCCCACGGTCAGCCCTTCTATGCTGCCTTTGGGAACAGGCCCAACGTGAGTGTGTCCCTCCTGCAGACACAGCCGCCGCCTCCTCCGCGGTCCCTGCCTCTGTCCCATGGGCCCCACCTGTCCCCCACAGGACGTCGTGGCCTACCGCCAGGTGGGCCTGCCTGAAGCGCGCATCTTCACAGTTAACCCCAGGGGAGAGCTCAGCCAGGAGCTGCTGAAAAACCACAAATCCACGTGAGAACAAACCCTGCCTGGGGTCCCACGGGCAGGCCTCTCCCTGCATCCCAGTTTCCCCCTCTCCTCCTAGGGGTCTGGCCCTTGCCCAGGGCTCCCGGGTGGGATGGGGCGGAGGCCTGGTCTGGTGGCGGCTCAGCTCTCAGGGCCAGCCCATTCTGCCCACAGGTACCAGCGGCTCAGCGAGGCGGTGGAACTTCTCTTCCCCCCTGTGGCCCGGGGCCCCAGCACAGACCTGACCCACCCTGAATTTAGCAGCTTCTGCTACTGGCGGGAGCCACTGCCTGCTGTGGACTTTAACGCCCTGGCCTGAGTCTGCTCTGGGTGCCACAGCGCCAACCCCAACCAAGCAGGTGGGGGGCTGCAGGTTGGTTGGCTGACCCCTCTTCTCCCCATCAGCTGCTCCAGGTCTCAGCATGTCCCTGTCACCCCAGGGTCTTGCCTCAACTGACAGGAGGGAGTGAAGAGGGAGGCCCCACCGAGGCTTCAGCCCCTGCGCAGACGGAAGGGTTGGCAGCTGCAGGAGTGTGGGTAGCTGAGTAGCTTCTGGAGAGAACTCTGTCCTGCCACCCCGCCCCCCCCCCCCCCCCCTTCCAAGACTGTTCTCTCCGAAACCACACTCTTACCTGGCCCGGGCCCGTGGCTCTTGAGCCAGGCATCACCACCTGCCACGGGTGCATGGTTTTGCCACCTCAATCCTGGATGCTCCACTGCCCCTGAGACCTCAGGGAGTCAGGGCCCACGTAAGGGCTAAGGGAACAGGGCTCCCGTTCCCCAGCCCCCACCCAGTCACTGCGGCTTTTCTGACACCTTCCCTGGGGACGGCCCAAACCCCACGCAGGTGGGCGTTTCCTGGCTGTTCTTCCCTGGGCCCAGCAGGGCAGGCTGGCAGCATGAGCTCACTCAGGAGAAGCTGGGAGGGGCAGAGCTGCCACCCCGGTGCCTTCCCTCCCGCTGTTTTGGGGGAAGAAAGTAGCTTCAGACTGGCTAAAAGCTTTAATCCAGAACCGGCTCCCCCGCAACAGTTCCCAGGTGGAGGGCAGAATACCCAGCGTCCAGAAGCCAGGTCCTCACGGCCCTGCAAACAGCACAGGGGCTGCTGAGGGGGCACGGAGGCGGGGACTCTGCCGAGACGGGCATCGGTCTGGGCACTGCACAGGCCTGAGGAGCGGTTTTCCAAGTGTCCCGTGATGGCTTTGTACCTGAATTCCTTGCCACTTTGTCAACATCCTGGCAGGGCTGGAGTTTCCCAAGGGCCTTAAAAGCCAGGCCTGTGCCCCCTTCCCTCCGGCTGTGGCCTCTTTCAGGCCTGGGACAGATCAGCGTTGCTCTCCGGGGAGAGAACCCTGGTGGGTCCCAGAGCACCTTGGAAACATCTTGGGGGAAGGATAAAGTGGGGAGGGGTCTCGAACCAGACGGCCTGAGTCCAAGTCTTTCCTCTGGGATTCTACAGCTGCCTAGGCCCTCCCCTCAAGGGAGGGCCAAAAGGAATAAAGCGAACTCTCAGTGAGTCGTTGTGCTTCTGTTCTGTCCTGGAAGCGGTGTGGGGATCCAGAAGTTTCTGGTCCTCGATTCATAAACGACACCGGTGACGCTGCCAGGGGTGGGGACAGCTCCCGGGGTAGCACCTTCCCGCAGACTTCGAGCCCGGATGCCTGGACACAAAAGCCAGGGGGACAAGGACCAGAAGCCTCCAAGGGCTCAGGACTATTTCGGGCAAAGGGAGAGCCTGTAGGTCTTTCCACCCCCTGCCTGTTCCAGCTGTCCACAGAAGAGCAATCTGCAGACCATGGGACGCGAGTGCCACCCTGGCCTTCAGGCATGATGTCCTTGCATCAACCATGACCCTGAATTGTCCAGTCTGTGTAGTACTGAGCATGGAGCTTGTCGGCTGGGACAATCAGGTGGAGCTAGATCAAGACCACTCCTCTAGTGGTCTCCAAATGGGTATCAAGGTAGGTCAGGCTGAAAGGTGCCGTTGGCTAGGTCTGGGCTCTGTGGTGACGGCCCCAGGGCTGGGATCCTGTCCAGCCTGCCTAGTGAGCATGCACGAGCCGGGCCTGCTCAGCCAGCTGGGCCCGGCAGTTCAGCAGGTCATCCCGGAGGCGGGCAATGTCCTGCGTGTGCTGGGCCAGTGTGCGGTTTAGCTGGTCCATGTGGCCCCATAGGCCTTCCCTAGATCCCAGGGGCTTGGTGGGCAAGCTGTCCAGGCCTGCAGCCAGCAAGCCCAGCCTCCCACACGCACCTTCCACCTGTGCCACCCGCTGGTCAAAGTGGCCCACTGCATGCTGGAGTTCCTGGGCTGTATCCTGGCAGCGGCTCAGCCTGCCGGCCATGCTGGCCACACCAGCCTTGAGTTGCTCGAGCTCCCCCCGCAGGGTCAGGACCTGCTTGTGCCCAGCCCGAAGCCTCGAGCCTTGGCTGCTGACCTGCTCCTGGATGGCGTGGACTTCAGCTTCCACCTTGCGTTCCCTCTCGTCCAGGGATGTGTTGGCAGCCAGGAAGGCATCAGAGTACTGGCTGACGGAGTCACTGAGGCCCGTGAGCGATTTGCTCACCGAGTTCAGATTGACCTTGAGTAGAGTGATCTCACCTTGGAGGGAGCTGCCCGTGCCCTCTGCCAGCTGCCCCTGGACCTCGGCCACAGTGCCATTGAGCTGCTGGAGCAGGGCGGCGTGGCTGGCCACCTGGTGGAGCAGGGCCTTGCTCTGGCTCTGCCAGGCCTTCACCTCCGCCACAAGGTTGTCCAGGATGGCAGAGGTAGTACTGGGCGTGCACGACGTCTCCAGGGAAACCAGCCGTTGTTCCAGCACAGCCAGCTCTGTTTGCACGAGGGGCCGTGCCGACCTGCCCGGCGGCGCACTGTTGTGGCTCAGCTCACTGGCCAGTGTTGCCAGGCGCTCTTCCAGGCTCTGTACACGCTCTTCCAGCACGGTTGCAAAGCCCCCCACTCCCCAGCCCCCCATCTCCATCCTCAGGCAGCAGCTCCTCGCTCCATTCTCTGTGCCGTTGAGGGACTCCAGACCCTCGAGCAGCCCATCCATTCCTCCCTCAAGCATGGCAGCAGAGAGTCTGGTGAGCTCGTCCCCAGCTGGGACGCCCGGGTTCCTCTGGGTCGCGGCTACTGTCTGCAGGTTCCTCTCAAGGCTGTCCACACGGGCACTGATCAAGGCCAGCTGGCCGCAGCAGCTGCCCCCGCTGGCCATGCTCAGGCCCTGTAGCCGGGTGCCCAGCTGTGACAGCTCACGGCGCAGGGCCAGCTCCCGGCCATCGAGGCGCTGGTGCAGCCTCCTGCTGGCAGCCTGGCCCTGTTCACACTGCCGCTGCACCTCCTGCACCCGCAGGTCACACTCACCCTGGACGCCTTGCAGCTTCTGCTCGAAGCCGTCCAGCAGGCTCCCCCAGAGCCGCTGCAGCCTCCGGTCCACGTACTCCTCCAGCAGAGCCAGGGAAGTGAGCGGGGACGGCGGAGCATCCCGCAGCCGCTGCAGGTGGGCCTCGTGGCCGAGGGCCAGCCCGTGCACCTCATCCAGCAGCTGCACTTTGGTCTGCAGCGTGTTGCTCACCTCTGTCACCTTGTTCAGGATCTCTCCCAGTGGAGGTGTCAGCGGTCCTCCGGCTCTGTCTCCTGGATCCACAAGCCCCTCAGGGATGTCCCCAAAGCCTGCAGGGGCCGCAGGAGCCCTGGGGCCACCAGTCGTCCTGTTGGGGTCCTCTTGGCTGGCCACTAGGCCGCTGAGGGTACTGTAGGCTTGGGCCAGGCGCTGAACGTCACCCTCCAGGCGTTCTAGCCGCTCACCAAACAGTCCTGGGCTTTTCCTTCCTGGAAAAGGGGAGGAGGAGGGAACCCCAGGGTCTCACTGGCCTGGCCTCAGCCTGCCACTTGACTTCCTGTTCTATATCCAGCTTCCTGCTGGGCAGAGCGCCCTCAGCTTTGCAGCAGGAGCAGAGTGGGGTCCTGGAGGCCACCCTCATGCCCAGTATGAAAGGGATCCTCCCCCAAGCCTTGCCAGACCCCCTCTCTGGGTCAGACCCCTGCCTTCTCCAGTGAACCCAAGGCTCTCAACAGGTAGACTCACCTTGGGGGCTGGGGGCTGCTCTGCTGTAAGGAGAGGGCTGGGGACCTGAGCCCAGCTGTCCTGAGGGAACCTGGGGCTCAGGCTCCACCTGGGGCGGGGCGGCCCCATGCTCCGTGAGGTGCTCAGGGCAGCCTTCTCCGGCGAGGCCAGGACAGCAGCGCCAGGTGAGCTCTGTCACTGTCTTGTAGCCAACCTTGTACCTGGGTCTCAGCACGGTGTGGTACCTGGGCCGGGGAGGGCAAAGGGCAGGTTCATGCACCTGTGGGCTGAGGCATTCAAGGCTCCCCTCTAGCACTCACCCCGGGTCTGGATGTCTCCCTCCCACGACTGTCCTTTTGCTGTGGTTAAGGCAACAGGGCGTGGTGGGTGGGAGAAAGCCCTCCTGGGGCTTAGAGCTGTGTGAAGGGAGAATGCAGGTAGAAGGCCCACCCCACCCTATTTACTTAAGAAGTGAGCAGGGGCTGAGCCCCAATGCTCCCAAGGCCACCTGGACCTCCTTAGCTCATGCTGCCCTAAGGAATTCCACTGGTTTCACTGGCACCTCCGAGACCCAGTAAACTCTCAACCCCTCCCTGCTGTCCCTCCGGGTAGGTGGGGATGGGTCCTGCCCTGGAGCTGGGGGCGGCAGCTCCCCGCACTGCCCTCTTGTGGCGGCCACTCCTGGCTCCTGTGAGCCCTTTAGGCTACTTCAGGGACAGGGCACTGCCCATAGAGGCTGACAGGAAGGCAGCTCGAATCTAGAACGAGGCAGGGCAGGCTGAGGAGTGCGGGCAGGGCTCACCGGGGACTCTTCCCTCCATGGTCCACTGCATCCACATTCACCTGCTGACACACTGGAGCTAAGAGGTCTGTTTCCAGACACACCCTTGAACTTCTCCAGGCTTACACATCACACCTGTGTGTGCCAACATGCGGCTCCTGTCTGGTCTAAGCCCTGGGACCTGGCTTCTCCCTTGACCCACTTAGCAGAACTGGGGTTTATGCCTGGGGGTCCCAAGTAGGTGGGGCGGAGGCACACTCACATGACTGTCCTGGGACACTTGGGGCCCCACCCGCACTGCCGGTACTCGGCCTTCACGTAGCGCTCAGCTCCATCCTGCAGGATGCACGTCACGTTCCTGTGCACCACATAGGCACAGAGGGCCCTGCAGGCAAAGAAGGCCCCCCTGGACTGTCTGGCCTCAGCCAGGCTACCGGGGGTTCCCACCCCCTCCCTGGATTGTTAGCCTCAGTGGAGACCCCATCTCTCTTCCATCTGGTCTCCTTGTTCTTGAGAGGCAGGCCTTTTGCCCTGCGGTCCAGAATCTTCTTCCAGGCTGCCACCAGCGCCACTGCTGGTCTCTCGCTGATCCCAGCATCCATGGCAGGTGGCCACTGGGCTAAGCTCAAATCCACCCAGGAGTCTGATGTGGCTGGGAAGAGGCCCCCAGCTGCTGCCCCAAGGGCATCCCCACAGTTTCCACCCTCCAGCTCTTTCACTGGTCCCAAAGCCTCCTGAGATTCAAGGCATCTGAGATTCCAACTTAATGCCTCCTCTTAGACCAGACTGCTCAACCTCCCTCCCCTCACTGACTCCTAGGGATGTGGTCCTCCCCGCTCCCCTTGCAGCTTTCTAGCTCCCACCTTTGCACAGCTCGCCTCTCTCTCAATGCAGTTCTTATACTGCCTACTCCACGAAGTTGCTCTGCTGTGCCCAGGCCCCCTGGCTGGCAGCTCCGGGCTCGGCATCTCCTATCACATCTCTCAAATCCAGCCAAGCCCAGGCAGAGCCCCTAAACCACCTCATAGAGGCCAGACAGCAAGCTGATGCCTCCTAAATTTATACCAAAAGCTAGGGCAGCAACGCCCCCCACGAGCTGTGGATGCCGGTCCCACAGCATGGGCCTAAAACCCAAAAGCCCCCACCAACTTCGCGGCTCAGCCACCTTGGGGCTCCTATGGGGTTGCCGGGGCCATGCTGTCCGCAGAAGCTGCCGCCAGGCGCTCGGCTCCACCTACAACCTGGCAGGGCAGGGAGAGTTGCAAGGCCTCCGCACACCGACCTCCCTCCCTCCACTCCCTCCACCTGGGCCGCTGCGCCCAGAGCTTGCACGCAGCGCAGCTGGAAAATGTTACTTCGTTGGAAAGGTTTCTGTTGGCACTGCCAGGATCTCGGCCGCCGTGACAGGCCCCCTCAGTTTAGCTTTTCTTCGCCAGCCACCCAGCATCCTGGAGAGTAGGGGCGCCCGCCGAGGCGAGGGCTCCGGCTAGGGGCAGGTGGGAGCGGCCGCGCGCCGCGTGGGCCCCGTCCCTCCCTCTTCCCGCCGCCGCTCGGCCCGCGCTTACTTGTGCGGCCCCGGGCGCAGCCTGGGGCGCCATCCCGTCGTGTAGAGGTTGTAGCGGGAAGCACCGGGCGCCGATGGCCGCGCCAGGAGCGGGGTGCCTCTGGCCTGCGCCCCGGAGAGCAGCGCCACGAGGGCGCACAGCCAGACGGGCAAGCGGTGGTGACCCATCGCAGCCCCGGCGTCTCCACCTGGCCCCGTGCGGTGGTCCCCAGCCGTGCGTCTCTGTCTGCCCGCTGCGCCAGCCGCTTGCCAGCCCGGGTCCCGTCGCTGCCCGCACCCCCCGGAGCTCGCCCGCCGGCCGCCTGGCGCTTAGCGGCGGCTGCGTCCCGCCGAGTGGCCGGCGCTGCTCGCGGCTGGGGCCGCAGAGGGGAGGCGGGAGGCGGGCTCTGCACGGATTAGCATAAACTTGGGGCCGCGCCGCTCTGCACCGCCAGCCCCCTCCTCCGCCGCCAGCCCCCCGCCCCACCTCGGAGCCGATGCCCGAGGGGCCGCCTGCTAGCACGAGGTTAAGGGAACAGCTCACCTCCACCCCGCCCCCGCGTGCCCTGGGGTGGCAGGGATGCGTGCTGCCGTGCCCTGCAGGCCCCGAACACGCCAAGCCACTACCCGACCCCTGAGGCCGGCCAGGGCCAGGGCGCAGGGCCTTGCCTCCACCCCACCCCCACAGGTCTCAGAAGTCCATCACGCGCAGGAACCGTGTGGTCTGGAGCTGGCAGGATGGTGTTTTGGGGCACACCAGCACGGCCTCCTGAGCCACCTCCTTGGAATGGGCGCTAGACACGATCCCGGCCGGTCAGTCCTGCCTCCTCACCCGTTGTCTGGGGATGCCCAGGGTGCCGGCAGACCCCTCTTCCCACCAGCCTCTGCAACCCAGTTTGGTGGCCAGGCTGCCCTGTGGTTCTGATGGGTCTGTGTTGTCTCCGTCTCTCACGTAGGGGCTGCACCGAGCCCCGCCAGGAATGCTCCATGTCCCTTTCTGCTCTTAATCACCTTCGTCACAGCTCTTGTTCCTTGTTACTGAAAACGTCCTCCCCGGCACGAAGCTGCTGTTGAGCCAGGCTTCCTTCATACCTTGCCTGTGAAATGAATTCCTGGAACCCACGAGGCCTTTACCACCAGCCTCATTCAGCCTGGCCTTGCTAACTCCCCAACCGGCAAAACCTTTGGAATCCTGGCTCTGTCTCATCCACACTGCCTTGCAGCTGATAGGTGTGCAGGCGGCACAAAACCACCCCCAGGGTGACCGATAGAACAGTCAACACAAGGATACTGGAACCCACATCTGCCTATGCCCCTGCCATCTCCCAGCCACAGCGGGCACACACCTGACCCAAGCCAGCTGATGTCTTCCTCCCTGGCTTTGGACTGAAGCAGAGGTGGGAGGGGATCCAGCTCCAAGGGGTGGATTTATTCATCCCCCAGGGCCGCTGGAACAAATAACCACAAGCCTGCGGCTTGACACAACGGAAGTTGTTTCTTCCTCTGCTTCCCCTGTGACTCCAGAGGATAAAAGGCCAGGACGAAGGCATCAGCACGGCCAGCTCCCTCCCAGGGCTCCAGGGAAGAATCCTTGCTTGCCTTTTCCTGCTTCCAGTGGCTCCTGGTGATCCTTGGCACTTGGTAGTTTGTAGCTGTGTCACGGTGGTCTCTGCCTTTGTCTCCTTGTGGCCCCTTTCTGTGTCCTGAGCTCTTCTTAAAAGGACACTAGTCATTGGGTTTAGGACCCAACCTAACCTCATCTGAAATAATTACATTGGCCAAGAGCCTGCTCTAACAGTCACATTCTGAGGTTCCAGAATTTGGGGGGGAGGGGCACTATTCCTTCCACTACAGAAGCCTTTTTGGGGTAATGAGGGGACAGACCATGGCATGTTGTGGCCGTAGCTCCGTGGGAGTTGTGGAAACTGAGGAGGGTGGGGCTGGGGAGTGGGGCACAGACGGGGCTATATGGGGCCCAGGGAGAAGTGTGGCGGGGAGCCATTTGGCAATAAGCTACGGCTTCCCCTGCCTGCTTCCCATCACCCACTTGAGCTGGCATGAATGCTGTGGTCCCAGCAACCAGTGAAGCCGAAGTAGCCTTTCACGCTCCCCACAAACAGGGCGAATGTGCTATTATATTCTCATACCTTCAACAGAGATGGTAGGAGCCATTTCTCAGGGGCCAGAAACACGGTATCAGTACAGTGATCTTGTAACCGCCAGCTTTCTGCTTTCCAGAAAGTGAGGCAGCCCAGGGGGAAATAAACAGAGCCCAGCTCCTTGGCCCTAGGCTGGGCTCTGACTGCCTGGCAGGGCTGCCCCCACTGGCCCTGGGAGAAAACTCCCGCACCCCAGAAGCTGTGAGCTTTTCCCAAGGGGCCCCTCTCCTTCCCTTCCCCAGCCCCAGACGTGGGAGGAGGTGAAGGGAAACCTCCGGGAAGGACAGCCCCCTGCCCAGGTGGCTGACATCAAACACCATGCTCCCGCTTTAATTGGAGTAGTTTTGGGAGCCAGGGCCTGGGCCCCATCCCGGCGAGGGTGGAAGACGTCAGTACAGAGGGATGCTCAGGGTCTTGGCTGGATGCAGCTGGAGGCTGGGGTCTCTCCCATAGATGAGGCCACTTTGCATCTGCCAGACAGGAAACCTAAGGAGGCCAGAGGCAGGGGAGGGAGACAGACAGGCACATTCTCCCAGAGTGACACCGGACTTCCTCCACCTGCCTGGAGACGGGCTGAGGGGTCTCACACAGCACAGTTTCTGTGCACACGGACACACACAGCCCAGCCTTGACACCACTATCCCCCTAAACACACACACACACACACACACACAGGCACTCTCCTTGCACTGCCTGGCCTCTCAGGAAGAACAGAGGATGCCGTCAGGTTGACAAGATCATCCTGGACGGGCACAGTCTTGCATGTCAAGGCCATCAGTGGCGCAGTGAGGGGGACGTGACTGGCATCTGCTGGACACTAGAGCCTCCCTCCTTCCTCTGGGCACTTTCTGGGGGCAGAAACAAAGTGCTGATTCCCTGGGGGCAGAGAAGATATAAGAATGGTTCCCAGGAAGCCGTGAGTCGGCTTGCCTTGGGGTCAGTTAACACATGGACCTGATGCTTCCCTGCCCACAGGCCTGGGGGACTTCTCTCTGCTTCTGCGCCCTCCTCGGAATGCCCTTGCCAATCCCCTTCCACCTCGCCCAGGATGTTTCTCTCCCTTCTGAAAGCCCAGCGTGAGGGATTGCTGAGAGCCACACCAAGTGTTACGGAATGCAGTCCCCCTAAAAGAGACAGAAATAGAAAGCACTGAAGCCGCAGAATTCCTGGCACAAGCCCTGCCTGCTGCAGATGAGCCCCTGGCTGCTCCAAGCAGCACGGTCCTAACACCACCCGGCAGTGGCAGAGCCCCAGAGTGCAGCCTTCTGCCTCCAATCAGCCCCCTGCCCCTGCCCACTTCCGAGCGTGCACAGCCAGGCACCCTGCACATGGGACCCCCTTTGGTGGTTCTGCGCAGCAAAGCTCTGTCTTACCTCACTTTCTGCAGTCAGCATTTTGATTACACCTGCACCATTAGAAAAGGTTACTGTCGAATCCACGTGAGCTTGTGTGGCAGAGGTTTGCCACGGCCTCTCTGAGCTGGGCAGAAGCTTGTCCAGGAGCCCCGGGATGAGTGGGTAGACGTGCAGCCCCCAAGCGAGGACCTAAGGGAGAGCCCAGAAATCATAGAAACTGGACTCTGCGCAGCCCGGATGAGTTCCCATCAAGTGAGAGTGGCTTCGAAGCAACTTAAAAAATGTGCAGTGCTGATGGGTTTGCAGCATGGACACATGCAAACCAGATGCAACCATTATGCAAATTACATGCAAAATACATGCTATAGGCCTCCCAGCTATTGCAAATGCCAAATGTGGCTCCTGGGGACTCTGGGTTTTTAGCTGAGCCCTGTTGTGTGGTAGAGAGTTGGTGCTGGACTCACCAGTCCCTTACAGTGAACAGGAATGATGGCGCTTTGAGGAAGTTCACCCACAGCGGGAGGAGGAACCAGGTAGGGAGTTAGCTGGGCCTGGATTTGGATTGTGCCTCTTCCATTGTCAAGTGCATGACCTCCCTGGAGTGAATTCCCCCTTCTGAGCCTCTGTATTCCCACCTGTAAAGTGGATGTTACAAGAAATGGATGTGAACACTGGCTACAGCTCCCATCTGCATGGCCAGGCACATAACAGACACTCAGTGAGGCCAGCAAGGCTCAGCAGAGGGTCCCTTCCCCGGGAGCTGGATGCCCGGGCTCCTTCCCAGTCACAGCAATGGCAGCTGTGTCCTTCAGGCTGTAGGCAGTACGTGCTGCCACGGGCTGGGGAAGTGTTGGTGTTGGGCGAGCCAAGAATCCAATACTGTCATCCCCTCGGAAATCTCTCAGATGGCCCACTCAGCAGGAGGGTGCGGTGGGGACTGTCGGTGCCCTGCCTGCCCAGACCCCTTCACCTGGCCAGGGCACCCACCCAGCGCCCTGCTGTAGGCGTAATGACTGTTAACACTCACAGCTGCTGCTCCTCCTGCAAATCGCCCTTGGCCGACAGCCACGCTCCCTGGGAAGTTTTGAACCTCCCACGCCACAGCCAACGACTGGCTGATCCAGGACATGAAAGGCCGCTGTCTTGTCTCAACGGAGACAGCTCAGCAGTGCAAAAGCCCTTCGGATCAGGCCCCAGCCAGACCTACCTGGGACCTATTCGTGTTGTTCTCCACTCTCCTCCTGCCCTCCCCACGCCCCCCAACAAACCGCCTGTCCCTGGACCCCTGTCTCAGGCCTGGTTTCTGAGCTCCCCCACCCAAGCCCACAAGCAGAGAACAGTGAACATAATCCTCGACGAGGGTGGCCAGGGACCATGCGGTGGCCAGCTCAGAGAGAAAGATGACTGTGTGGGCCTGGGAGTAGGAGTCAGGGTGTTTCACAAAACAGGTCGCCCTAGAGTTTACCATGTGGGGAGAACACCCTGGTGGTGGGTGAGGCCTGGACAGAGCCCGCAGGCAGGAGAGAGCCTGCTGTGGTTGGGGGTCCCCTGCGGAGCTCTGGATGGTGCAAGGGGGCCTGGCAAGAGGGCCCCAAACACTCCAGCGAAGAGTCTGGCCTTTACAGTTGTGTGATGATGCTCAGAGAGCCGCCGGGAGCAACATGGAGCAGCGTGGGTATTGAGCTATCAGCAGGGTGGTTGACAAGGGTGCGTGGCACAGCTGGCCTGGTTCCAGTGGGGGCTGGGGCTGCTCCCCACTGGAGGGACTGGCATCTGGGTCTGTGTAGGACTTGGGTAGGGAGAGGCTGGGAGAGGCTACAGAGCTGCCCGGGCACTGGGTGGGGGATGGGGTGCAAGGCTGTCCTCTAACTCTTCTATTCATAGGCACCCAAGTAAAAACCACACAGGATTACCCGCTGGTGATGGGCATATGATGGGCGGGGCAAAAAAGGCCAAAACAGGAGGGGACAGGCAGGGCAGGTCGTTGCCATGGAGAACTCACGCTTGGACAGGCAGAACCTGACCTTCCCGACACTGTCCCTATCTCAGACCTGCTCTGCTGCAATTCTCTAATTTGCTGGGACAACTGCTGGGCACCCGCTGGGTGTGGGAAGCCCAGATGGGCTGGCCCCTGGCTCAAAGCACCCCAAGAATGGGCTGGGAAGTGGATGAGAGCTGGGAGAAGGCTCAAGGGGAGATCAGCAAGGGGCCTCCAGAGGGAGGAGGGGGGAGAGGGTCCCTGGTGGGGAAGGGGCGGGATGGGGAGCAGAGGCAGAGTTAGGGAGGGCTGAGTGCAGGCTGAGCGCCCGGGAGGCACTCAGTCTTCAGCCCCCGAGAGTCCACGGCGTCCACTGCCCACACAGCCCTGCCCTAACCTGCTCCTGCGTGGAGCTCCCCTGCAGACTGGCTGTCCTGGATGCAGGTCCAGCCCTTGCACATGTTTAGAGCTGTGACCATGAGGAGCTGCTGGGACCCAAGCAAGAGCTTGGAGATGGGTGACGGTAGTGTTTTGGAGGCAGAGCTGCCAGGTTTCAAGAGCCGGACAGGTCAGGGCCAAGGTCGCTTACGGGCCCCTATGCCAGCCAGGCCTCAGGTCTGTTTCACGCTTAGGGCTGGATGACAGATTTGGCACCTGTTCAAAAGGGCTTCCTGCCAGGGTCCGACCACCTTGACCTCCCACCCCCAGAAGTCCAGCCTTCTCTTTTAACCCTGGTCCTGCGCCCCTGCTCTTGCCACCTGCCTGTATAACTTCTGGGGTTGCTCCCAGGTTGTGTCTCTGCAGAGGGCCTCCACATTCCTGGTGATGCTGACATTGGCCAGCAGCCCTAGTCCCCTTGGGAAAGAGTGGACAGGAGGCTCCCACGGTGGGACTTTATCCCTCCCCTGCCCAGGGGTGGGGAAGCTGTGTGTGATTGGAGCATCTTCCTCCCTGGTTGTGTGGCATTCCTGCCTGTGTCACCCCTCCCACCCCAGCCAGTCTCCTCTAACTCATACCTCCAGCCACTTCGTCCTCCTCCCCAGCTCTGGTCTCATGAAGCAGTCCCCGGGCAGGTGTGGAGAGGGGTCAGAGCTGGGAGCCGTGCCAGTTGGATGGCCGTACAGATGCCTAAGCTGCAGGCTGGGACCGCCCACATTGGTGAGGGTGAAGGGAGCAGAGAGGGTCTGGAGATGAGGAGCAGCACTGACAGGCCCTGGGACTTGGGAGGGGTTCCAGGTGGTCCCTTTGGCTGAGGTGAGGAAAGAGGGGCAGCCTAGGGCTGGAGGGAACATACACTGAGTTTGAGGAGTCTGTGGATCCCCTGGAGATAGTTAATGGCCACAGGCAGCAGGAAGCACCCAGAGTTAATTGGGGTGTCCCATCTGTCTGCTGCCCCTTCCAAGCTTGAGCAGGGGCGAGGTGTGCTTGGCGTGGGTCCCTGTGGCCCACGACACACACTATCCCACTGCTGTCAGCAAAGTGGCTGACCGATGGTCCTGGTGATGTCGCTGCTCCCAGAGGTAGGAGGGGTCTATCGGGCAGAGTGGACAGCTTCCCCGGAGACCATTCTTCCCTTTTCCTCTGGCCCAGCGCCTCCCAGGCAGCTGCCCTACCCCGACCGCCTTTCCACTTTGGCTTCCTAGTGTGTCCCCTGGCCCCTGCCTTGCTCTCCCCAGCCCCTCTCCTTCCTCTATCCGGGCCTCCATCCCGAGGGCCCTCCCTCTCTCTTCCCCTAAACCACTTTCTTCTTTCTCATAATCAGAGCTTTGATGACCCAGTGTATCGAGGGCCCAAGTTGTCTGCTTCCCTGCTCAGGGCTCTGCCTCGGACCCTTGGCTGCCAGACAAGGTGGCATTCCTGGGAGTGGGGGAAGAAGTCAATGCCCAACCCTGGCCAGGACGCCCCCTCCACAGAAGAATGGGCTGAATGATGCCTAATGCAGGGGGCAGCTAAAGACCAAAAAGAAGAAAAAAAGTTTTCGTTTTCTAAGTGGGATGTTAAAAAGCTGCCCCAACCCATTCCCCTGGAATTGGAGAGAAGTTAACTCACCGGCAACAGTCCAGGCGATGGGAACGGAGGTCTCCAACGGCACTTGGTGCAAGAAGGCTGGGGACGTTGAGGTTGAAATCAGTGATGGAAATCAGAAAGATGTGGCTGGGGGAAGGAGGGGAGAGGATGTTGGGGGAGAAAGAGAGAAGGGGGAGAGAAAGCCAAGGCAAGGGGGGTTACAGCATCTAAGTTTCCAGGAGACTCAGGCGACAGGTGGTAACCTGGGTTTCAGTGGTGCCCTCTCTCTGGGCCAAGCTGGGCTGGATCTGGGTGCAGGGGCTCTAGGAGCTGGTGACTGAGGAGGCAGGAGGCAGATAAATGGGAGTGAGTGAGGTCCAGAGAAAGGCTGGCACTGAGCAGTTTCTAGGCAGAGGGAGAAGAGCCAGGGAGCATGAAGCAAGACCCCTAAGGAGACAGGACCCAGGCCCAAGGCGGGAGGAATGGGAGTAGGAGGAGGGCCTCGAAGCAGAGTGCCTGCAGGTGCTACGGCGGCTGAGGGGGTGACAGGAAGCAGAAATAGCCTCTGCCAATCCTCGCTGTTCCTTGCTAGGGAAGCAAGGTTTGCTCTTGAGAGTCAGGGAAGAAATGGAGGGATATTTAGATGGAGCAAAGCACAAGTGAGGAAGCGAGGAGAGGCTGGGCCACAGCCAGGCCCCAGTGCCTGCAGCCCTTGGCAGCTTGGGGGTGGCGGGAGGAGCAAAGGCCCAGGGCCTATCTAGGGCTGTAAGGGTGGCTCTGGGAAGGGAGGGAGAACCTGGTGGGACTAAAGAATGGTATTCCCTGACCAGGTTCCCAGGGAAAACACACTTAGAGTCAATGGACACAAGATAGCACTTTCAAGTTACCGGAAGACTGGTAGGCAAAACGGGACTCTGCTCTTTGGTGGCTGCTACGGTTTGCGTGTGGTTTTATCTGGTTGCCGATGTGGTGGTGTTGGGAGGCAGGGTCTTTAAGAGGAATTCTTTGGGCCTGTGTTGTGGCACAGCAGGTTAAGCCCACTTGAGACACCTGCATCCCATATCGGAGGGCTGATTTGAGTCCTGGCTACTCAGCTTCCAATCCAGCTCCTTGCTAATGTACCTGGGAAGGAAGGCTGCAGCTGAAGGCTCAAATACTTGGACCCCTGCCACCCACGTGGAAGACCCAGGTGGAGTTCCTGATCCCTGGCTCCTGGTTTTGGTTTGGCCCAGCTGAAGCTGGGGAGTGACCCAGTGGGTGGAAGATCTACTTCTCTCCCTCTGTAACTCTGCCTTTTAAATAAATAAGTCTTTAGGGAAAAATAAAAGAAAACAAAACAACACAGGAGGGCTTCCTGTCTTTCTCATGAGTCTGGATCAGTTCTTGCAAAAAGTAGGTTGCAATAAAGGGGGTCACCTCTTGTCTCCTCCTCTGCTGCACGCATGCCCACTTGCCTGCTTTTCCACTGAGCATGGAGAGGCACACAGAACCTCACCAGAAGCCAAGTAGATGCAAGTACCATGCTCTTGGGCTTCCAGAACTGTGAGCCAAAACAAACCTCTTTCCTTTCTATAAATGACCTAGTCTTAGATGTTCTGTTATAGCAACAGAAAATGAACTGGTACAGTGGCAGTGCAAAAATAATAATCACACATTTTCACTGAGAAAGCAGGAAAATATGAATGTTTGGGAATAACTTAGCTGATGCTGGAATTTCTATGTGCTTCCTCCACCTGGCGGGTGTCCACCTGCCCACCTGCCTGGCTTGTGTGTCACTGTGCTTGCAAATGTTTCCTACTCCTTACTTTTTTGATGTCTTTTTAAAATATTTATTTATTTGAGGCTGGCGCCGCGGCTCACTAGGCTAATCCTCCGCCTAGCGGCGCCGGCACACCGGGTTCTAGTCCCGGTCGGGGTGTCGGATTCTGTCCCGGTTGCCCCTCTTCCAGGCCAGCCCTCTGCTGTGGCCAGGGAGTGTAGTGGAGGATGGCCCAGGTGCTTGGGCCCTGCACCCCATGGGAGACCAGGAAAAGCACCTGGCTCCTGGCTCCTGCCATAGGATCAGCGCGGTGCGCCAGCCGCAGCGCGCCAGCCGCGGCGGCCATTGGAGGGTGAACCAAAGGCAAAGGAAGACCTTTCTCTCTCTCTCTCACTGTCCACTCTGCCTGTCAAAAATAAAAAAAAAAAATAAATAAATAAAAAAAATAAAAAAATAAAAAATATATTTATTTATTTGAAAGTTAGAGTTACATAGAGAAGGAGAGGCAGAGAGAAAGAGAGGTCTTCCATCTGCTGGTTCTCTCTCCAATTGGCCACAATGGCAGGAGCTTCGCCAATTTGAAGCCAGGAGCTTCTTTTGAGTCTCCCACACAGGTGCAGGGACCAAAGTACTTGGGCCGTCTTCTACTGCTTTCCCAGGCCATAGCAGAGAACTGGATCAGAAGTGGAGCAGCTGGGACTCAAACTGGCATTCATGAATGGGATGCTGGCCTGCAGGCAGAGGCCTAGCCTACTACACCACGGTGCTGGCCCCCAGTAGTCGGGACACAAACCAGTGCCCATATGGGATGCCGGCACTACAGGCCGTGGCTTTATTCATCACGCCACAGAGCTGGCCCCAACTGTTTGATGTCTTGACCAAGGTTGTCTGTGGCTCTTCTCTCAGAAACCATGATTAGTTAAGAACAGTTTATTGGTGTTTTCTACCAAGAACTCACCGAGGGACTTAAGTGATGATAGTTTTCCAAAATCATTAACACTTGGCACCAAAGAGAGGCAGCGGCTGCGAGTGAAGGATGACATTCTAAGCCAGGTGTCCCTTATAAAGTCAAGGTAAAGGCTGGTTGATCTTGCCCATTAAAAAGAAAAAAACCACAAAAGTTCTGTGTAAAGCATAGATTTTTTTTCAAATAGGACTTCTTATCTGTCACTATTAAAGTCTAAGTGGTTTTTTTTTTGTTTTTTTTTTTTTTTTTTTTTTTTAGATTTTATTTATGGGGCTGGTGCTGTGGCACAGTGGGTTAAAGCCCTGGCCTTAAGCGCTGGCATCCCATATGGGCGCCGGTTCGAGTCCTGGCTGCTCCTCTTCCAATCCAGCTCTCTGCTATGGCCTAGGAAAGCAGTAGAAGATGGCCCAAGTCCTTGGGCTCCTGCACCTGTGTGGGAGACCTGGAAGAAGCTCCTGGCTTCTGGCTTTGGATCGGCGCAGCTCTGGCCATTGCAGCCATCTGGGGAGTGAACCAGTGGATGGAGGACCTCTCTCTCTGTCTCTACCTCTCTCTGTAACTATGTCTTTCAAATAAATAAAATAAATCTTTTAAAAATGTATTTATTTATTTGAGAAGTTGATTTAGACAGAAGGAGAGACAGAGAAAAAGGTCTTTCATCTGCTGGTTCACTCCCCAGATGGCCACAACAGCCGTAGCTGGCCCGATCTGAAGTCAGGAGCTGCACCCATGTGGGTGCAGGGGCCAAGCAGGTGGGCCATAGCAGAGAGCTGGATGGGAAGAGGAGCAGCCAGGACTCGAACCGGCGCCCACATGGATGCTGGCACGGCAGGTGGAGGCTTGGCCTCCTATGCTACAGCTCCGGCCCCTAAAGTCCAAGTTTTAAACAGATTCTTGGACTGCTGATTCATATCCCCAGCTCGTTAGACTTCAGCACCTGTCTCATCCCTAGTGACTTTTCCAGAACTACTGCCTTCACCACAAAGCTCAGGAGTTTTCCCAACTCAAACCTGGCAACTTTTTCTTTTTTTTTTTTTTTTTGACAGGCAGAGTTAGACAGTGAGAGAGAGAGACAGAGAGAAAGGTCTTCCTTCCGTTGGTTCACCCCCCAAATGGCTGCTGCGGCCGGCACACTGCGCAGATCCAAAGCCAGGAGCCAGGTGCTTCCTCCTGGTCTCCCATGGGGTGCAGGGCCCAAGCACTTGGGCCATCCTCCACTGCACTCCCTGGCCACAGCAGAGAGCTGGCCTGGAAGAGGGGCAACCGGGACAGAATCCGGCGCCCCAAGTGGGACTAGAACCCGGTGTGCTGGCGCCGCAGGCGGAGGATTAGCCTAGCGAGCCGCGGCGCCGGCAGCATTTTTACTTTTCTAACACAGATCTCATGGAGAGGATTAATAGACTGGCAAGCCTTTTCTATGTCTTTTCCAGTGCTCTCTGGAATCAATTTATTGACCACTTGCTTTCAAGGCATTTGTTTCTGTCTCCTACCTCATGATCTCCATCATCCTCTTCCGGGGATTTGGCGGACCTACTGGAGCTGAGAAGTCTTCCACATCTGATTGTTGCATAGTATGACCAAAACAGAACACGTGAAATGATTTTTTTTTAAGATTGTATTTATTTGAGAGGTAGAGTTACAGACAGAAAGGTCTTCCACTCACTGGTTCACTCCCCAAATGGCTGCAATGGTCAGAACTAGGCTGATCTGAAGCCAGGAGTCTCTTCTGGGTTTCCCACATGGGTGCAGGGGCATAAGGACTTGGGCCATCTTCCACTGCTTTCCCAGGCCATAGCAGAGAGCTGGATTGGAAGTGGAGCAGCTGGGACTCGAACTGGCATCCATATGGAATGCTGGCCTGCAGGCAGAGGCTTAGCCTACTACACCACAGTGCTGGCCCCCAATAGTCTTGACATCAACAAGAGCTTCAATCACGGTCTGCCAGGTTTTGACCATGGAACACATTGTGCTGTGGGTAAGAGCCATGCTGCGGAAGTTACTCTGGTAGTTTTTGCCCTGAACATTCTCAATCATTGGCTTGAGTTTTCTAAATGTGACTTCATCGGCAGATCGGCAACACCTACTTCAAAAACACGACCCTTGAGGCCATCAGGTGGAATTTTGGCCCCTTGAGTCCCTGTGGTTAGTGTTTTCCCAATATTTCTTACATTAAACAGAGCAGGTAGGTACTTTCACATCACACCAGTCTTAGAGAATGGATCAACCACTCTCTTTTTGACTTCCTTTTTGCTGCCTTTTGTAAGATGCTTGTTCTTGCCAACTGCCATGGTGATGCTTGGAGAGCCAAAAAGGCAATCCCAGGCTTTGAATGTCTTAGTCATCACAAGGATTAAGTATTTTGTGACTTTTGCCAGTTGTTTGCCATTTAAAAAGTCAGCTACAGAACATTCAGAATGTTTATGAGACAAAGAACATGCTTGGTAAGTCATTTTATGAAGGAGCATTTTTTTAAATTATTGGAAATCAATCAAAACTGAAGGAGAAGAAATTCATTGATCAATGAAGACCAGCACTGATTTCAGCAAAAGTATACAAATTCTTTTTTTTTAAGAGAGGAAGAGACAGACTTTCTTTTTTTTTTTTAAGATTTATTTATTTATTTGAAAGTCAGAGCTACACACACACACACACACACACAGAGAGAGAGAGAGAGAGAGAGAGGTCTTC